GCAAGAAGGAAAGGGAGTTGGAGAAGCAGAATGCAGAGAAAGAGCTGTCCCGCATTGAGGAGGCCCTGATGGATCCTGGGCGACAGCCAGAGTCAGCAGATGATTTTGATCGACTTGTGCTGAGCTCCCCCAACAGCTCCATCCTGTGGCTGCAGTACATGGCCTTCCACCTGCAGGCCACGGAGATTGAGAAGGCCCGGGCCGTGGCCGAGAGGGCTCTCAAGACCATCTCCTTCAGGTCTGGGATTCGTGCCCCTGCGTTGGGGAGGGGTCTTTTGATAGGAAGGGCCGTGTCTCCCCAGGCTGCAGGGCTCGCCACCTGCAGGTCATTCGCTCCTCAGTGGGCCGATAGCAGTTGGCGTGGCTGCCACCAGGGGCCCCAGGCGTTCCCAGGCTCTCTCGTGGACGTGCCATCTGTGAAAGAGACCTGCTCATTTATATTTTATCGTCCTCTTCACCGAAACAGCTAACATTTACAAGAGTTCCTAACTTGAATAAGGTGCCCAACTTGGGGCACAAGTAGAATAGGGCGCACAGCTTTCCACATACTTGGGGGGAAATGCTGCAGGTGGCCATTTTCCAGGCAGAGAGTAGAGTGAGTTTCCCAAAGGCTAATGAAGAGGAATGGCAATCCTTTACTTCATTCTCTTAGTTTGGGGAAAGAATCAGACCAGAGATTCTGCTCCTTCCAGCTCACATCTCAGACCAGTTTGATATTTGGTAGGCTCCCTTCCTAGGAGTGGAGGTAGAGCCAGGTAGAGCCTCTGTCTGGGAGCCCCGGACCTGGCAATCAGGGGTTGGGTTTTTGCTGCTGTGTGAGCTGCAATGAGACAGGGCCTCTCGGTGCCTGCACTTGAGGGTGGGGACCGGGGACATAGATGGAACCTGGGGAGGAGGATGGAGTTCCCATCGTCATGCCCAGACTGGAGTGAGGGGCCCTTTGGGCTGAGACGGTGGCGCTCATGTGCTGACTGCTCTCCCTATAGAGAGGAGCAGGAGAAGCTGAACGTGTGGGTGGCCCTGCTGAACCTAGAAAACATGTATGGCTCGCAGGAGTCACTGACCAAGGTCTTCGAGCGGGCCGTGCAATACAATGAACCTCTCAAGGTCTTCCTCCAGCTGGCTGACATCTACACCAAGTCAGAGAAATTCCAGGTAGGAGTCTGAGCCCACTGGCCCGCTGCAGGAGCATCCCCAACCACTCAGAAGCTGACTCCTGGGGGTCACAGAGGCAGCAGGGAAATCTCTGAGAAGACTACCCACGCTCTGGATCCGGTTCTAGTCTTAGGACCTTCTTACGGGCGCAGGATCAACTGGGAAACACCCCATTTGTGTTAGGCCTCCCCATCTCTGTGAGCCTGCCCTCTCCCCTCAGTAGCTAGAGTTGGGCCTGCATAGCGGTTAGAATCTGTGAGTCCGCGTCTGTCTTCTCACAAGCGAAGCTGTTGCCCCCTCTGTCGCATCACACTTTTGTCAGCTTGCCTTGGCTTTCCCACAGGAAGCTGGGGAACTCTACAACCGGATGCTGAAGCGTTTCCGGCAGGAGAAAGCTGTCTGGATCAAATATGGCGCCTTCCTCCTGCGGAGGGGCCAGGCTGAGGCCAGCCACCGTGTGATGCAGCGCGCCCTCGAGTGCCTGCCTAAAAAAGAGCGTGAGTGCTTAGTCCCGCCTCTCGACCCAGCCCCTGAGCACGTTTGGCGCTCTCCTGTCTCGGCATAGGGATTGCCGGTCCCCTCATCTGAGGGTGGTGGTAGGAAGCCTTGTCAAGGTTACCTAACTCTCTGTTTCTGTTGATTATATGCTCATGAACATAATGCATGATGCATTTCAAGAGCTAAACTCTGAAGAAGGAGGAACAAAGAGCAATTCACACTGATTCTGTTGCCCCTGCCCCCCATGGAGCAGGCTCTCTGCAGTGGGAGTCATAGATCAGTGCCCATCACTGTATTTGGCCCTAAACCTGCCTCACTGTCCCTCTTGTTGCCTGTGTCTTGGGACACATGAGCAGGGAGTCAGGGGTCAGACTCAGCCCCTGTAGCACACTGTTGTGGTGAGCAGTCGTCTGCTTTGTGGGTCTGAGCTGTCCTCTCCCTGCAGATGTGGATGTGATCTCCAAGTTTGCCCAGCTTGAGTTCCAGCTGGGGGATGCGGAGCGGGCCAAAGCCATTTTCGAGAACACACTGAGTACCTACCCAAAGCGCACAGATGTCTGGTCGGTCTACATCGACATGACCATCAAGCATGGCAGCCAGAAGGAAGTCCGGTGAGAGGGGAAGACAGACTGGGGCTCAGTTCCCTGTCGGGGGTTTGGGGACATGGGCCAAGCGGATGACTTTTAGCAACCACAGCAGCTCCCAGCGTCCCCCGTTGTCTTAATGTATCTGGAAAAACAGCTTTGAGACAACACATCAGGTCCTGTGGCACTCAGTTGTCCAGGTTCTTTTCCTGCCTCAGGGGCCAGCCTCTGGTCAGCATCTGGTACCATGGTGGGAGATACCTGGTTGCTGGCCTGGGGGTCAGGAGTCTCGGTTTCCCCTCATAATTAACTCTGTGCCTGACTCTCAGTGTAGAGAATGTTCACAGACATACTCTCACTGTTGTCTGCCAGCATCCCCACAGGCAGGGAGGGTTAGAGATGGGTGGGCTGCGGTCCAGAGAGAACCAGTGCCTCACCTAAGCCCATCAGTCAGTTTTCAGCGGAGCTCTTCTCACAGATGCATACATTATGTGTGTCCCATCCCAGTAGCTTTGTCCTGATTCACTGTGTGACTTCAGGCCAGCAAGTCCTTTACCATCTCGGGGGGTCTGTCTGCTCACCTGGAAAGTAAGGGTGGTGTTACCCATCTCCAGGGGATATGACAGGAGTTTACGGTGGTAGTAAAAATAAAGGTAGAAGTGGGGGTGCTGGATGTAACAGGGCCGCTCCAGAGCCCAGGAGTGAGTGGGGAAGGTTAGCCAGGAATCGGGTGGCAGGGACCAAGAGGCAAACGCTGCCCTGCTCTTCCTCACAGAGACATCTTCGAGCGGGTCATTCACCTGAGTCTGGCCCCCAAGCGAATGAAATTCTTCTTCAAGCGCTACCTGGACTACGAGAAGCACCATGGCACTGAGAAGGACGTGCAGGCAGTGAAGGCGAAGGCCCTGGACTACGTAGAGGCCAAGGGCTCAATGACGGAGGACTAGTGGTGGGTTGGCCCCGGACAGCCACTGTCCGCAGCGGGCCAGCCCAACCAAGCCTCAGGCTCCCCGCAGTTGAAAACTGTCTTGCCTGAGGACTCTATTTAAGTGCTGTTTTTTCTGCAGCGTTCCTTGGGGTAATCCTGTTAGGATAAAAAGGCATTTGAGATTTCTTATAAATTCCTTTTTGTTATTTTATTTAAAGTAGCAGTTGCATCTTCTTTTCTGAGGCTGCTCAGTTGTTGCAGGCTCAAGGAAAAGCTGAGGGTTCTCCTTCATGGGTGTTCCTCGGGGAGCGAAAACGGAAGGACCGACTCCCGACGATCGGTGGCCAGGATCCCGCTTTGGCCCAGCAGGCTCTTGGTCCAGTCAGAGGGGGTCAGCAGGGCCCAGGGAGCAGGCCCGCCCCTTCAGATCTCGGGGTGTCTTGGCGTTTGGTTACCTCAGCTCAGCCTTGCACCCTTTGTGGAGGCCGTGAGCTGGGACAGAAGGACAAAGGTAGAGCCTAGAAAGGAAAAGTGGGGAACCTGCGTGCCTGAGAGGAAAGCTACCTGGCGCTGGTGTCTTCTCTCACCCACCAGGGCCAGATGACCCAGCCTCTCCAAACTGGTCCCTTGTGTGTGACATGGGGTTAAAAAGTCCTACCTGGAAGGGTTCTGTGGGTAAAATGAGAGCATGTACATTGTATGCTGCCTGGCAACTAGGAGGCTCAGTGTGGACCTAGACTGGCGTGCTGTGTGGCTTTGGGGAGAGCCTTGTGTTTCTGTGTCCCTTCTAGGGCGGTGTTGTTGGGCGGGGGTTGACTCGCTGCTTATTCCCTGAGTCCTGAGGGTGAGGATGCACGACATGCCCACCACACACACACCTCCCTTGTAAAATTCCCAGAAAGTCCGCCTGCATCATTTGATAAGGAATAATCCTGTGTGCTCCCGAGTTCTCAGAGGCCAGCACAGACCCAGCTAGTTATTGCAGCCAGTTTTTTTTTTTTTTTGGCTTGGTCCAAAGAGAATTAAAAAATGTTCTTTGGCAGAGTTTTAAGTGTTCTGAGAGCTAGAGAGCTTGTCCATGGGCAGTGCCTGAGTCATATGCCAGGAAGCAGGACCAGGACAAGGAAGGGCATCGAAGGTGTTAGAGGTGGTGGAGGTGATCAGGCAGGGGCAGGCATGGGAGGGAGGAGAGCCCGTCCTGGCTCTTGGTTATTAGCACCAGGTTATGATAACTAGTCTCCTCTACTTGAGTGTAGGATCTTCTGACTCAAGAAATTCAAGCTGAGCTACTTCTAAGAGTGGCCAGGCTGCCTCTGTTCCCTCAGATCAAACGAGGTAACTGAATCCACTTGCTAAGAGAGCGTCAGCGTCAGAGCTTCCCCACGGGCGGGAGCACCTGGCTCTCCCTGCTTCCCTACCCTCCCTTCTGTCCATTTCAGTCTGTCCCCTTCCCTCCCACAGGAGATGGGATTTTTTTTTTTTTTAATCTTACCAGAGGACATTTTTTTTTTCATTGCTTTTAGAGAGAAAGGAAAAGGGAGAAACATCGATGTGAGAGAGAAGCATCAATTAGTTGCCTCCTGTTCATGCTTGGACCAGGGTTTGGCACTTGGACTGGGGATTGTACGTGCCTGTGCCCGTGCCCTGACTGGGAATTGAACCCGCAATGTTCATCGGGCAGTGCTCCAACCAGCCAAGCCACACCGGCCAGGGCAGGAGATGGGATTTAGACCTGTCCCCATGACCACCAATCTGCTGTGGCATGGCTCATCCAATTATGCAGACACAAAGCTAGTCCTTTATACTCAGAAAAACTTTATCAAAAATGTATATATAAAATAAAGCCAGTAGCATATATTGAAGGGCAGCTTCCCAGCTGAGCACCAGTGAGCTGGGCGTCCATATGAGGTTAGACACAATTAACTGCATAACATCCTATATAATGAGCCGACTGGTGAGTTTCATTGTCACTTAGCCCTGCTGGCCGGGGCTTCTCAGCCTTGAAGTGCCACCAGTAGAAGGTCATCCATATCATAGTTCAGAGAAAGGGTCTTTCCTCCAAAGCGGTTGGCCAAGTGGCTGGTGGCAATAAGAGAGGGGATGCCTTCAGGTCTGAGAGCCTTCCTGTCGGAGCTGACCACGTTGTGTACTAGCACTCTCCTGTATCCAGATTACTTTGTCTCTTTCTCTTGGTCTGTTTTCCCAAAAAGTTAATAGTTAAAAAAAAAAGTTCTCTGATGCTGATGTGAGCAGGTGGTAGGGTTCAGTGTTGGACCAAGGCCTGTCATTTTCAGAGTGGGGACGGGGCCATTAGGAGACAAGCACGGCCATCTCCATGTTGTCTGGGGCTGTGCCATTGCCCGGCAGACCTTGGGCCCACTTGTGTAGGCGGCTGTAGAGTGGGAGGCCCTGGTTCTCACGGTACAAGTAGACACCGGTGATGGCGTTCCACTGCGGCCGCGGCTGTGTGCCCTCCACTGGGAACTTCGCCACCAGCTCCTCATCTTCTTTGCTGAGCGCTACGAAGCCGAAGAAGCGGCGCACGTTGTTGGCAGCCAGCACCCTCGAGTGCACCTCGGCCGTGCGCTGGAAGAGCTGGTCCTCGTTGTTGCGGTACTGTGTCCAGTAGGCCTCCTGGCGGTAGCTGAGAGGCGAGCAGTAATGCTTGAGGCACTTGGTCAGGAACACCAGGATGGCCACCACACCGATGAGCAGCCACCCAAAGAGCTGGCCAGAGAAGAGGCAGGGTTGAGGAGGGGCCCGCGGCTGCCTAGACCCTCACCCACCCAGGATCAAATAGGGTGTGGGCTGGGCTGGCCCTGGCAGTGTGGCTGATGATTCTGCTTCTGGAAGGGCAGCCGGCCCTTCTGGCTGTAATTTCCCTGGTTTTTCCTTACTCTCTTGAACTCACACGTTCTCTGTTCTCAGACTTTGTCTCCCACATTTTCTGCTGCCATTTCTTTAGCCCCGGGCCTGCCCTGCCCCCTTCCCATCATCTCAGCACATGAAAATCCAGCTCAAACTGTCAGGCTTAGCCCAGATGCCACCTGCAGGAAGCAGTCTTGCCTTCCCTGAGACCCCCATGACCTGGGTCTTACACCATCACTCCTGCTCATGTGCTTGTCTAAACACTGGCCTGGGCGGGAGCCTGTCGAGGGCTAGGGCAGCTGTCATCCTTGTTTCCCCATTCAGCCCTGTACAGGCATCTGCAGGCTTTTGAATATCAAACTTTATTTCTATGTCTTCCATCTCCTTTGATGCTGTCTCCAACCCTGCTTCTCTATCTGTTCCTCACAGACCTGAGAGACCTTTTTAAAGATCTTGGGCTCCTCTCTGTCTCAGCCTCACCCCCTGCCTCTTTTAAGTTAATGCTTCCGGCTCAGTTTTTCTCTTTCTGCTCACATCTCTGCCCTTGGCCTTCTCTCCCCTGACCAGCCTTCACTCCATCAGAACTAAGCCAAGGCTGAGGCTAGAGTCAGAGCAGCAGCAGCTGCTGTTCCCTGACTCGACACCACTTCCTGGCTCACAGGACTCCCCTCTGTCAGCAATGCCTGAGGCTGATTCAGGGTTGGCCGGGGCCCTTCCTGGGATAGGAGCGTGTTCATCCCTGGAGCCAGATGCACCCCACTGTCAACTCATGGCCCGTAGCAAATGTTCCATAGACTCACAGGGGTTGGTTTGTGCTCATTCTGGCTGGAGTAACGGGCTCAAGGCTCAGTCTGAGCCAGAAGACTATTCCTTTAACATTTAAAGCTCTTGTTTGGGGCTGGAATTGTCCCTTGTCCCACCAGGCGCTAACCCGCAGCTGACACAGCTCTGACACCTGCCTCTGGGAGCCCTTGGCCCCTGGAGGCCTCCCAACACCTCCCCAACCGGCTACCAGCTAGGGAAGAAGCACTTCCCTTTGCACAGCCTTACCTGGGACTCATACTTGAGCCTGCGACTGACCTCCTCCCGGAAGCCTGACAGGTTGGCAGGGCTCTCCCCGCAAGGGAACCTGGCCAGGATTTCTGTGGCATGGGCTTGTGGGAAGCTCTCTTTTCCAGCTGTGAGCGAGGAGGTGTCCACAAACTCACTGAGAGCACAGACATAGGCCTCACCACGCAGCAGGGAGATGACAGACCAGGTGATAGGGGCCACGGCTGCGCGGCCCAGGATGGAACTTAGAAGGAGGAAGTTGGGGGCAGCGGAGCAGTTCTTGGTTCTCCGGTACTGGCACTCGGTGACTAGGTTCCAGGTGTGGTTGTTGAGGATGACGCCAATGAGGAAGAGTGCTAGGGCGGGCACACCGATGGCCGTCAGCCCGTACAGGTAGTTCCTGGCTGGTGAGCAAGGGCAGTGGAAGGCCACCACAGAGAACACCTCCTGGCTGCCCACCGTGCCCAGTGCCACCAGCCCATTGAAAATCATCACATCCTTGCTCTTGAAGAAGAGCGATAGAAAGCGGAAGTTCTCAGCGATCAGGGCTGCCATGCTGATAGGTCAGCGGAGGGACCGACTGCTGGGGCGGAGACAAGGTACCGGACCGATGGTGGCTGGTGAGACTAGGAAGGAGTGCAGGCAGGTGGGCACCTGAAGGCAGGGCACGGTCTGGTCATTTTATCACCTAGAATGGCCGGCCTGGTGCTCCCTGCAGAACAGGAAATGACTGATAAGTGTTTGCCTCTGAAAACAGGGATATTGGGGATCTTGTGTGACCAGGCTGGTGAGAAAGGAGGCTTGGGGAGCCCCGGGGCCTGGGGAGAATCATGGCAGCCACATTTCACGGAACTGTTACTGTGCCTCAGGTACTTTACAGCCCGTTTCCAGCCCCACGATCCACATCGAGCTGTCATATCCCTTGTGTACACATAGAAGGTGGAGGCTCTTGGGGGTGAGGGGCTGAGATTCAAGCTCAGGTCTATCAGCCTCAGACACTTAGGTTCATGTTGCTACCGCAAGATTCTCCAGATGGGGGTTCGGGATGACCCTGTGGCACTGGGGAATGTGAGATGCTGACTGGCTTTCCCTCTGGGATTCCAGGTAGGGCTAATGTGCTGAGGAGCCCAGCGCTGTTTGGAGGGTGTGTTCTCAAGGCTTGTAGCCCCAGGGGTGGAAGAAGGTGGCAAATATGGTTCCCCCTCCCTGGAGTTCATCAGGGCCTTTTCATTGTGCAGATCCCAGGCTCTGGACTGGTTTAGGAGACCCTGCCTCTTAGCCTGCTTCGTGACTTTTCCCTGGGTCTCAGTGTCCTCGCCTATGAAAAGGGCATAAACCATTCTGGCCCTCGCTCTCCTCTTAGGAATGCTGGAGGGAAAGGAAAGCGAATAAACAAGGCCTGATAACTATTCTACATGGGACGCAGGACACTTTGTCCCTCTATGTCTCTCACCCTGTTGAATCTTCAGGGTGACTACCGGGGGTGAGGTAGGGTGGATGATTTTCCTTCCTGCAAACATGAGGCAACTAAGGCCTAAAGAGGGTAATAAAGTACCTTGCTCGGGACCATTCAGATGTGGAGGTGCTTAGGCAAGACTTTTAACCACAGCCTCAGGAGACCTGGAAAATGCACCAGGGTGAGTCAAGCTAAGTGAGTTCACCACTGCTCTGTGCCCACCCGTGAGAGCCCCAGTGAACGTCTCCTTGCTCACCCATTACCCTGTCCCTACCCAGCAGCCTCCCAGCAGCCTCCCAGCAGCCCTGTTCCACCCAGCAGCACTGGCAGCCTGGAGGAAGTGGTCGTGGCCTGGGCTCCCGCCAAGTTCTGCCCTGCTCCCTTCGCAGGCCCCACCCACATAAGCCAGAGACAGCCCAGGGTGTGGCCCCATGTGTCCTCCCCATCCCTGGGATGAAAAACAGAAGCCTGCAGGCCAGAGGAAGCTAGGGAGCAGAGGCTGGGGTGGCTAACAAAGATGAGGAGACTTGCCCCTATTACCTACTGCACCCCCTCCCTATACCACCGCCCGTCCTGGTCTCTACCAGGCTGTCAGGTGGGCCAGGGCAGAGCTGGCTGACCACGTGGGCTATCGGGAGATGGAAGCAGAGGACGGATCTAACTCTCTTCCCAACTCACAGCCCAAGGACTCCAGCCTAACTCTCTGGAAAAGGAGTTTGTAATATTGCGGGGTTTGAATGGGTTAAAAGAAGCTGCTACTCCCTTTCTCACCAGCTCTGGGCTTCAAGGTTCCTCATGAGCTCCTTGCGGGCGGGGGGGGGGGGGGGGGGGGGGGTAGGGGTGGGAGGGCCGTGGGTTTATAAACTGCACAAGGTTGGGCACAGGATGCCTGAACATGGGCAGGCAGAAGAGGGACCAGACCAGCTTCTAAGACTTCTGCCCCTGCCCCCAGGCTGGGAGCGGGACCTCCAACAACAGTCAGGACAGGAGTCAGGCCCCTGGGGGAGGGGCAAGGCCAGCCCCTGCCCGTAGTAGAGGGGCTCGGTGAGGGGTCTCTCTCCCAGGACAATCCCTCTGGGAAGCCTCAGACTGGCCCTGCAATGCTCCCCTGTCACCTGGCACACTCCAGGGAGGGGCCCTTCCTTACCTGGGGGCAGGCGCAGGCACCAGTGGCCTTGGCCTCCTTGGGGCAGGGCTCTGCAAGTGGCACACAGACATCCGAGCTGGGGCGGCAGCTGTTCCACCCGATGTGCCCTCCGTTGACTGTGTCCTACAAGGGCTCCCTCCCGCTTTTCTTGGGCACAGGAGCAGGGCTGGTGGCGTCCTCAGAGAAGTTTAACTCCAGGGAAGAAGAGGAAACAGCGGGATGGAACTTGCACGCCAGCGAGTGGAAAACATCCCCCGCACCAGGCAGGGGAGGGCGGAGCAGCAGAGGGCGGCGCAGAGGAAAGGAAGCTGGGGCACCCGTTTCAGCAGCTCTCGGCCTGTGTCTGCTCTGCCTGCCTTCCCCGGCAGAACTGCTGGGAGCCCGCCCGGCAGTGCACACCAGTGGGACTGGTTCAGGGATCAGGCGGCGGGGGTGTGGTGGGGGGGGCCTTCGGGAGAGCTGGTCTGGGCCCGCCTTCCGGCCAATTTCAAGAGCAGCGTCCATGCTTGACTACCCCCCTCTCCACCCGGCCGGACAGAAGCTGTTAGAACAAACCTCAGCAGGGTTAGGGCAGACACGCCATCAGACCGAAGCTGACCCTTGCAGGATGCACAAGGCTAGGCCTTCCCCTTACCCCCACCCTACCCCCACCCGCCACCCCCATCCCCACGCCTCTTCTGGCCTTTCTTCTTCAGCCACTGACTAGACAAACCCTTGCCCAGTCGACATCTTCTATCCAGACTTCAGCTAACTCTTTAGGTACTGCTTCAAATCTCGGAGGACTGATGATTGAATTCTGGAGCTTAGGGATTCTCTGAGGCCCTGTGGGCACACAACTCAGACTGTGGGTGGAAATTATAAGGAGGCAAGTTTTTGAGGGAAGCCTGCTATAATGATCAGAGTTGCCTAGACTGTCCCCAAAAGTGGTCTTGAGTACCCTCTCCCCACCCCCGCCCCCACCTCTGCTGCCCATCTGCGAGAGTGTGCGAGCTGAGGCTGAGAAGTCACAGGTCAGGAATTCTGAAGAGGAGAGTCTTGTCCGAAGGCTGGCTGCATGACTCCTCGGATCAAGGGGGAGACCCCCGTCCCCTCTCAGCTCTGTGATGCCTGCGGTTCTGTAACAGCAGGACTGCCGTGTGACGTGCTGGCCTCTCTGAACTGGGCTTGCCCGTGTACAAGAGTGAGGGGGAAGGGACCAGTGTTTACTTTTCAGATCCTACCATGTGCCAAGCACCGTTCCAGATTCTCCCTCAAAAGTTATCTCCCTTTATCCTCCCCATATCCAGAAAAGCAGATCTTCTAATACCCATTTTACAATAGACACACTGAGACTTGGAGGGATTTGGGGACTTACCGCAGGTCCTATAGTTCCAGTATTAGAATGCACATCTGTCTGACCCAAAGCTTTACTTTTCACACTTTTCCTTCCCAAAACCTCCCTGCTGGTTTTTCCCATTGGAAGCCCCCACTGCCAACACACACCTGATCTTTATTTATCTGGATCCTGCCCCTCATTCAGAGTCTAGATCCAGTCCCACACTCTGGAGGAGCCCTCCATCCCAGCTTGGCCTGTAGGGATGGCCCTCCTCCCAAATAATTAAAGGGAGAGAGACTGGGTTTCTGACATGGGAATAGAGGGAAGGGTGCATAAGAAAGAATAGAAATCATTAAAACAATGTTGCAGGGATCAAGTTCAAAATGAATTCTTATGCCCTGGCTGATACAGCTCAGTGGATTGAGTGCTGGCCTGCAAACCGAGGGGTCGCCAGTTCAATTCCCAGTCAGGGCACATGCCTGGGTTGCGGGCCAGGTCCCCGGTGGGGAGCACACAAGAGGCAATGACACATTGATGTTTCTCTCCCTCTCTTTCTCCCTCTCTTCCTCTCTCTCTAAAAATAAATAAATAAAATCTAAAAAACATAATGAATCCTTAGATGAGTGGGACTTTCATCTCAAAGGTATGTGAGGGGGCAGGCAGTCCATCTTCTTGGCCCTGTTCAACAAAGATGGCTCCAGTTCCCAATGGCCGCTTCTCTTATGTCCAGGAGGATGAGGAGGTTAAGCCGCAGGTTCAGAAATCAACAAACATGTCAGCCACACATACCGAGTGCCGCCATATGCCATGTCCTTTACACACTTCTTTAAGGCTCAGGACAACCCCATGAGGTAGGTGCCCTCATCTCCATGGTACAGATAAGGAAATGGGGCCCAGGAATGAAGCAACTGGCCCAAGGGACACAATTTGTAAGGGCTAGCGCCAGCACCTAACCCAGCTCTGTCTCACTCTGGAGTCTTGAGCGGTTTCTGCTCTAGGCAGTTCTGCTTCCACCCCTCCACCCTCATCCCCACCTCAGGCAGAGCCTCTGAGCACTTTAGAGCCCCCAGCCCAGGATATGGGGGCTTCTGTTTCTAACTGCTGAAGACCTGGGGGTGGTCTGAGTTACCCCTGGATGAGAGGGAGGTGTTAGGGTAGCCAGTGAAAGGACCTTTCCCATGACAGTTTCTTTGGTCTGAGTGTGTCCTCTCCAAAATTCCTACGATGCATCCCAAGCCCCAAGGGAGGTGGGGCCTTTGTGGAGCCCTCAGGAATGGAATTAGTGCACTTATCAAAGCGGTTCCAGACAGATGCCTCACCCTGTGCCCCGTGAGGCCAGTGAGAAGGCACCGGCTGTGACTCAGGACGAGAGCCTTCATCAGAATGTGACCGTGCCTGCACCTTGAGCTTGGCCTTCCACCCTCCAGACTGAGAATCAAATGTCCTTTGTTTATAACCTACCCAATCTGTTATATTCTGTTATAGCAACCCAAATGAGCTAACGCAGGAAGTCCTTTGTGCTGGGGGCTAAATAAATGTGCAGTGCACCGTGACAACTATTGAGTGACCTCCATGGTGACTGCATACCGCGGCTTCTCCTGAACGGACCTAGCTTCTGGTATCTTGCGGGTCACACCAGGTGAGGCTGCATGTCATGACCTTTTGGCCCACCTGGGGCCACTCAGCCTCACGCTGGAGCCTGGCCCCAAACTCAGAGGACTCAGTTTCATGAGATGGCTGGGTGTGCCCTCACTCCCTGAACCTTGAGCATAAGGGAGCAGAGATTCTAAAATGTCACGGACCAGGGTGGATGCTGGGGCAAGGACCTGAGTGGAGACTGTGACCCAGAGAGAAACTGGCTTGGCAGGGGCTGGGGAGGTGCGAGCTTGCCCCCTCAGAGCCACTTTTGAACCTTTTAACTAACACTGCTCATGGCTCCACTGTCTGCTTCCCCGGGGCCGCCCAGGGTAATGTGACAGCTGGAGGAGTGAGGTCCCCTTCCAGTGCCAAATTTCCAGCCTCGAATGTGCAGGCGGATGCCTGGGCACGTGGGTCTGCTCCAGGGGCCTGCCGCGTGGCACTGTGGCCTTCATTTTTCCAGGTGGTTTGGGGGTCTGAAGTGCTGTGGACTAAGGGCAGTGCCCCCCACATTCCTGCCTTTTTGCCTGGCCACAGCTCACACTTTGCTGAAGTAGGTGGCCACCTCCTTGCGTGGAGGCCGGGGTTCACCTCCAGCCCAGCCATTGCCCATCAGTGGCTCCTCTTGGCCCAGCCGCAGAGGCGGCTTGCATTTGTGCCAGCTCGTGAGCAGCCTGTTCATGGTGCCTTGATCGGTGATGCCTCGAAGCTTCTCCCTCTCCTCCTTGGCCCCATCGGTGGTAGCTGCGGCAGTTGGGTCAGCTGGGGCTGTGGCCAGCACCCCATGGGTGTGACCCAGTTCCAGGTCATGGTTCATAGCTTCGAAAAACTGCTGGATACAGACCTTGGCAAAGGCCTTGGCGTGCTCTGTGCATGTCTCGTCGAAGAGCTTGCGTTCAATGTCGATATAGTGGGACCAGTACTTGCTTTTGAGGAAGGCGGCCTGCGTAAAACAGGGCCTCACAGAGCGCACGACAAATGCCAGCAGTGTGGTCAGCAGCACAAAGGACCAGCCTAGTGCCTGCAAGGGAGAGAAGAAAGAGTCAGCCAGGCTCTGGCTGGTGTGACTCACTTGCTTGGGCGTTGTCCTGCAAACTGGAAGGTCGTTGGTTCAATTCCCGGTCAGGGCACATGCCTAGATTTCAGGTTGGGTCTGGTCCCCAGTCAAAGCACGTGCAAAAGGCAACCGATAGATGTGTCTCTCTCACATCAATGTTTTTCTCCCTCTCTTTCTCCCCCCTCCCCTCTCTCTAGAATCACTTTTTTAAAAAAAGAAATAAAAAGAGTCAGCAGGCACTGCCCACCAGCATTCCCAGCCTGTCTACTGCCACGCCTCCCCCCTCATTGCACTCTCTATGTGAGAGTAAGTAAAATGTTCTTTGTGTGGGCCTAGCACCCAACACACGGGAGTTGATCAGGAAGACCCTGGAGTTAGGCAGCCTGAGTTTGGATCCTGTCTCCAATACTTTCTAGTTGACCAGGAGTAAGGTGACTTCTCACCTATAAGTGGGGCTGGTGGCACTATTCCCATAGGATCGTTGTGGGACTAAATGTAATATTAAACTTAGCACAGGGCCTGGTTCATAGTTAGTGCTCAGTAACTGGGAGGCACTGTAAGTATGCCAGTAGGGCCTTGCTGACCTTCCTTCTGGGAGCCTTCCTCGGCCTCCCCAGGCCGTATCTTTCCATCCCTCCTGCTATTGTCCTCCATTCACTCACCCGCACTGACTGCCTCCTCTCTGTGGGCTCCGAGCTGGGCCCTCGGGGTCACAGGGACAACTCAGACAGTCACCCAAACTCTGCTGAGCAACACTGAGCGTTCAGGTGCTGGCTCAGTTCTGTCAACCGCCCCCTGTGGGCAAGGTCAGGATGCTCCCCACCCCCGCCCCGACCGGTGCTTCAGGGTCAGCCCTCAGCGGCACAGTGTTTGGCCAAACAGAAAGCGGGGAGGCAGAGCAAGCGTCAAGTGGGGCGCTGTGGAGCATGTGGGGGGGGGGCCGGGCACCCCCTTTGCTGCTCCTTGAGGACATGGAGGCCCTGGGCGACTGTGTCTCCTGAAGTTTCAAATAAATCTGGAAATCTGCTTTTTATGTAAAAACTTCTGGTTTTTCGATGTTGCCAATGAATTCTAAAGCTGAATTTTTAATTCAGCCTCTAAAGGCCAAATGAATGATGCCTACAGGCTAGGCAGCCTGTCCTCCAGGAGCCCTTTTAGATTGTGATGTGGTGTGAAGGTCAAGTGGAGGGAGAGACAGGACACACAGAGGACCGGCCTTTGCATGGTGCCAAATAGCTCACTGAACGGTCACTTCTTCCTCGGAACTCCCTTTTCTTTCTCCTCGTGTGTCCTTCTCCCTCCTTTCTTTCCTGTTTTTCTCTTTTCATTTGGCTCCCCTCACCAAAGGAATAACAGGTTTTTAGCAAGTCGCCTCCTATCGCCACAAAGGCACATCTGTGTAATCCTCCTTGCTCAGGTAGTTTAGCAGGGAGACAACAACACCCTGAAGTTAACAGTGAAAAAACAAATCAGGTGGAGGGACAGCTGCCCCAAGCCCTGAGGCCTGGAATGGAAGATGGGACAAGTGCCCGGAGGAGAGAGGCACAGGTTTGGGAGGGAATCAGAGTACATATCAGACACTCAGAGTATGAGATTCACAGGGGGCTCACAGTGGTGGTACAGGCCCCCAGGAGGGAGTTCTGGGCTGGAGGGAGGGAGCCAAGTGCCCGGGCTCGCTGGAGCAGAGTGCGCATGTTTCTCTTCCCCTTGCAGGGCAGGCCCGGGCCCAGCCCCAGCCTCCTCCTCGAACAGCTCCTGGCCCATGGATGCTGCCCGGTTGCCCTCCCCACACTGCGATGGCTGCAGGGGAGGCCTGAGGGGCTCCGGTGGGTGAGTGCCCAGAGGGGCAGCGGATGTGGGGGTGAGGCTGGGGAGACCCAAGTACTGGGTTTCCCATAAGTGGGCCCCTCCAACTCTGCCTCTAGGGCACATCCCAACAAGTGTATCCCCCTCACCCAATCCCTCTGTTCCAGGGGCACCTGGACCCTCAGCTCCCACTCCCCAATCAGAGAGGTACAATCTGGGGGCATTTGCCAGGGAAATGTACCCAAATGTCCCAGCTACCCACTGGCATTGCCACTGTCCCGGCCTTCCCCTGGAAGAGGGGAAGGATGCAAATTTCCCCAGGCTTCCAAGCAGGGGCTCAGGATGGAGGGTTCGGGGCTGGCTGCACCACTGGGTCTGCTCTGAGGACCTCAGGACAGGGCACAGGCCTCTGGACTTAAGCAGTCATAGCACTTTCCCCAGGGGGCCCTGATCTGAATACGGACACATGGCCCTCAGAAGCCCCTGCCTCACTTGGGAAATAAGCCCCCGCCCCTGGAGCTCCCTTTGAGGGGGAGTCCCAGTCTGTTGGGGAAACATGACTGTTCTTGAGGAGGCCCCATTCTGAGAGGTGTGGGAATTGGGTCCCTGCAGAGAGACCTAGGTCTGTTTGAGGAAACCTAGCCCAGAGCCACCTGTCCCCCTCACCTGGGAGATGCAGCGCAGGTAGCGAACGGCCACCTCACGGGCCAGCAGCCAGTCACCATCATAGATCTCTGGGCAGGGCACCCGGGCCAGCAGGCGGGCGAGCTCAGGCGGAGGCAGGCCAGGCACCAGGCTGCCGTTGCCCAGCACAGTCACGGGCACAGCCGTGCAGAAGGCACAGAGGAAGCACTTGCCATCGAGCAGCGTGACGGCCACCCAGACAACAGGTGCAATGAGGGCGCGCTGCGCCATGGAGCAGAACATGTAGCGAAGCACGGCGGGGTCCTTGGCCCGGCGGCCCGGCGGTCGCTTCCACTCCTCCGCCAGCATGGACACGTTGTTGTTCAGGACCAGGCCGAGCAGAAAGAGCACCAGGGGCGGCACGAGCAGGATGCCGGCGCTATAGGCAGCGTTGTAGCCAGGCAGGCAGGGGCAGTTGAAATCGAAGGCTGAGTATATCTGGGCGCTGGCCAAGGCCATGATGCCGCAAATGCCATTCATGAAGGACTCCTGGTTGGACTGCAGGAACTGGAAGACCATCCGGAACTTGTCCATCGCGCCCCCCACGAGGCCTGGTGGCCTCCTCCAACCTCACCGCTGCCTCCAGGATGGGCCCTGTTGTCCACTGTGCCCACCGGGCGCCCACCTCATGGCTGAGACAGGCAGAGCTCGGGGCCGTGGCTGAGGTCACTGTCTCTTTGAGGAACCTTCTGGTCAGGTGCTGGCCGAGAGACACACGGTGGCCAACCCTGTGGGTGTAGCCGGGATTCTGCCCCTCCCTTCCCGGGCCTCTCTCTCCACAGCCACCTCCGGCACAGGGAAACCACCAGGGCCACACCTGATGGGGACCAGCTCTCTATGGGTATGGGAGGAGGGCAAGGCGGTTCAGACACAGGGATGGAGTTTGGGACAACTCAGGGCTGCTGCAGAGGCCTGAGCTTCGGAGCCTTGTCCCCTGGGCTCCTCGGAAGCATGCCGCCTTCTTCCTGTCTTTCCCATTGGGATTTTCCTCCGTGCGGTATTGGGGCCCAAGAGGACTCCGCCACGAGTTCAGACAATGATGGTACGATGCTGGAGTGACGGCAATGATAGTGGCGCCTGTAATGGGGGTGATAATGGTGTTGCTGGGGCTGCTGCTGCTGGTGATGGCGGTGGTGCTGGCGATGGCAGTGTTGGTGTTGGGGATGGCGCTGATGGAGGTGAAGGTGGTGATGGTGGTGACGGGGATGGTGACAGTGGTGACAATGTCAGTGACCGCAGTTAAGGTGGTGATGGTGGCGATAACAGCAGTGGTAGCGATGGTAGTAGCGATTGTGGGCACCATCAGAATGGTGGCGGTGGTGGCAGTGATGGTGACGATGGTGGTGACGGCGGTAACGGTAGTGACTGGGGCGATGGTGTCGGTCACGGTGGGGATATGGTCGTGGTCGTGGTGGACACAGTGCTATTGCAGCATGGCGTAGAGTAAGGAGCCCTCAGTTGGGAGCCGGAGGATTTATATCTGAGAGGTTCCCGGGCCCCCTCCCTACTGGCCAGGGAGCTGCGGCCTGGGAGCGTAATGCAGGTGCTTTTATGTCTGTTGGCTTCTGCCTCTGGGGTGTCTGTGTGTGTGTAGACTGGGTGAAAAATCCTTTCCTGGCTCCGCCTCCTACTTCTCCTGCCCCAGATTAAAAGATAAAGGCAGGATGGGGGAGGGTTTCATGCCTGGAGCTCAGGTCTCCAGACTGTCCGTGGGAACCAGGCCAGGGCCCCTCCCATCAAAGTGCAGAGGCGCTTGAAGGGCTCCCTTTGATGCCCACCAGTTCTCCCAGAAGAGCAGGTTAGACCCAGCTCCAGCCAGACGGCTCCTGTCTGGGGCGAGAGTGTGTGGCTGGGGCTGACACAGAGCAAGAGCCTGGACAGGCTGGCTCCACAGGGCCCACAAGTCTGTGCGTCCCAGGGGGTGCCACGTGTGTGCACTGTGGCTTTGGGCCTCGGTACCTGTGTATCTGCATGTGTATATGTAACCACATTAGTGGCCTGTGTGTCTCTGTGTGATCAGCCAGAACTTGCATTGACCAGGCCTTTCTGCGTCAGGCCCTATGCCAGCACCTTACATGCATCACCTCATGTAATCCTCATACAACCCTGTAGAATGGGTGCTATTGTCCCCATTTTACCCAAGTGGGGACTGGGGCTCGGAGAGGTTAAGTTACTACTAAAGTTTACACAGGCTAAGTGGGAAGAGGGGGCAGGAAAGTGCTTTTTGGCTTCTCTTCCTATTCAACCAGCCTGGGTGGAAAAGATAGTGTCACAAATAGGATACAGGTATAGAACGATGTTATTCTCCTCAGCCCTCAGGCTGGGCCTGTGGCAAATAGAGTCCTTAGGCTGGTGGCCTCTGAAGGACCCTTTTTGGGGGCTCCTGAAGGGGTACCCACAGGGGGAGAACAGGATGAGGGAGATCCAGCCGAGGACACACTGCTGTGTTGACGTGCGTGGCTGATGGGGTCCGAGCTGCGGCAGAGTCGGGCACAGTCCCCGGCGGGGAGAGGTGGGGTGCGGAGGCGCGGGAGCGAGCCGCCTGGGGTCTCTGTCTTCTCCAGTGGACGCGGCCCTCAGCCAACGTGCCTATGAAGTGTGCCCCAGCTGGCTGCACGGCGCTGCTCTCACCGCATATACGCTCTGTGCAAATTCTAACTCCAGTGTCACTTTAAAATACTTGAAATGAAACAGTTTGGCTCCTAAACCTAGTATTCTCACTTTACAAGAATGTTGTTTACAGTTATTGAAAGTAAAAGATGAGCGCTGGAGTGTTTACATACCATTCAGACTCTCGTAAACTTTTGAATGGTTGTAAAAATTAGTTTGACATTTATCACCTACTTGGGCCATGTCTTCTGTAAACATGGTATTTTTACATGGGTGGTATTTATCAAACATTTGAAGAGATCATTACTAAGGAGCATTGCGGGGGGTGGGGGGTGGGTGAACATGGTCAAAAGGTACAAACTTCCAGTTATAAAATAAATAAATCTTGGGATGTCATGTAAAGCACGGTAATAATACTGCATTGTATATTTAAAAATAGCAAAAAAAAAGCAAATCTTACCAGTTCTCATTGTAAAAAAAGGAACGTGTGACTATGTGAGGTGAAAAATATTAACCAGACTTATTGTGGTGATCAATTCGTAATATAAACATATATCAAATCATTACGTTGTACACCTGAAATATAATATTATATGTCAATTATACTCAATTTTTAAAAAAGAATCTTCAATAGGATCTGCCTGTGGTCATTGCAAAATCTGATGTTAAAAAGTTGTGCTCACTGAAGTAAGCTCACGTTTCTCATTTGAAGAAGCCTGGGAGACTTCCTTTGGCTGTTTTTACACCAAAGCAGTATTTAATATCTGTTCTAATACTTTACGCTACATTTTTCTTATAATTCTACAAGATAAAAAGACGCCATCGGTTTTCCACTGAGTCCTGTATAGATGTCTCCAAACTCCCTCCGTTTGCCCTGGTGTCCTGGGTCAATCAATGTCTCTAAGCGCCAGTATGTGAGGGTTAGGAACCTTTGCCTCCGAAGGGTGCGGACTGGGGCAGGTGTCCTGTGAGGGAGACTGTGGGGGTGGCGTCTTGAGCGGCAGCGAAGGCCAGAGCTGTGTCAGTGACCACAGAAGGGACACGAGGCTGCGAAGGGGGAGCTCCTTCGCTATCGCCCCTTTACTTGTGCTGCCCCCCGCCTGCAGTGCCGCCTGCCCTCACTCTGCCCACTCTAATCCACTTCAAGGCCCTGCCCATTAGCTCAGGGTTTCGTTCACTGAATAGCTGACTTTTTTCTTAGCAAGAAACCATATCACAGAGAGGATAAGAGCAACCTACTTAAGGACCTGGGTTCATGTCTCTACCCTGCCACATACTATCCAGGGTCCTTGGGCAAGGCGTTTAACCTCTGGGTGCCACAGTCTTCGCAGCTGTTCATGGGGAGGATAAATGAGCTTGTCTCTCGGGTTGTGTTGAGGATTCAGTGAGGTTAGCACCATGCCAGGCCCATAGCGACCGCGCAGTAAGTGATCATTACAACCTGGTAATAGTAATAATCATCATCTTTGCACCTGAGCTTTTCTTTGAAAACGTGTGTTTAGTTTCCCATTGCTGCTGTAAAAAATCACCACAGACTTAGTGGTTTAACACAACACAAATTTATTCTCATAGTTCTAGGGGTCAGGAGTCTAAACTAGGTCTCAATGGGCTGAGAATCAAGGCATTGGCCAGCTGTGTTCCTTCCAGAGGCTCCAGGGGCGAATCAATTCCCTGGCCTTCTCCAGCTTCTAGAAGGAACCCACATTTCCTGGCTTGTGGCTCCGCATCACTCTAGCCTCTGCCTCTGTCATCACAGCTCTGCCTCCGACCTTGCTGCCTCCCTCTTACAAGGACGCTTGTGATTACGTGGGACCCGCTGCATCATCTAGGAGAGTCTCCCCATCTCCAGATTGTTAACATAGACACATCTGGGAAGTCGCCTGTGGAGGCCACACATTCCCAGGTTCCGGAGATTAGGAGGTGAACCTCGGGGGCCCCTTGTTCTATCTGCTCAAGGAGAGGGCTCCAGGAGTGCATTGAGCAGTGCTTGTGTCTTCTCCACCTCTCCCGAGTGCGGGACTAGGTGGAGATGGAAAGCAGGATGTCACGACCCTGCTCAAACTTTCTGATGTGGCGGCAGCAAACTCAGCCACAGCCACCACGGTGGGACATGCACGGGCCCTTGGCCTCCTGCCCTCAGGAGTGCCATCCTGGCACCCACCCCGGTGCTGGAGGAGTTAAGTGTCATGAAAAGCAGCGTGCAAAGGGGGCCTCTGCTGAGCGGTGCTGGCCCTTTAGGAAAATGTCTAATTTGCATAGGAGGGCAGAGTGGGAGGTGCTCCAGTGGGTGCTGCTCTCCCCTAGCAGCAGGCCAGGCGGAGAGGGAGGAGCACCCAGAGAGCAGGGCAGCGGAGGAGGCAGCAGCCACCAGTGAGATGTGGCTGCCCCAGCCGCTTGAGTGCTGCCAGGCTGTGTGAGCAGAGGTATGAGGTCTTCACCTAAGGATACACATGCTTGTTGAATGAATAAATGAAACATGTGCCATGCCCCTTCCCCAATTCTTTGCCTTCATTCTTGCTGTTTCCTTCCTTGAGGTGCTCTGCCCCACCCCAGTGTCTTCTCTACTTGTCAAAACCCTCCCCATCCTTCGAGACCCGTTCAAATGAAGCCTTCTCTGATCCCCCAGTTTGGAGCCATTATTCTCTATGCTAACTCCCTGTGGCACCTGGCTTGCCTCTATCCGCTTTTGCTGTGGCTGATAGTGATTTCTGTACCCATCGCTGACTGCCTCTCTGTTAAACAGCAAGCTCCCTGTTGGCAGGCTCTATCGTGTGCATGCTCCCTTCCCTAGTCCCTGGCACAGGGCTGTCCATACAGTAGGTGCTCTGTAAGTGCTCCATATAAGAAGGTAAGAGTATTGATGGCCATCGGCGGCTTTTTACTGGTCCAGATGCTGCATCCTTGCAGCCCAATAGGAGAGAGGCCCCCGGACCTCCTTTCCCCAGGCTGGGATCTCACCAGTGCTGACTGGGCCATATTCAGGCTCTCTCAACTCCCTCCCCACCCAATCCCTGCTAACACTTTGCCTAAACCTTGCCCCACCCCAGTGTCATTTGTGATATTTGCATGTCCTGACCACAGCAGGGTAAGTTGGGGGAGGCTGAACTGCAGAGATTGTTTGGTCTTACAAGGTCCCTTGGCAAGAGCCCAGGAGAGCAGATGTGGCTAGCCTGATACAGAGGGGGCTGGGCTCTCGGGGGGCATCTGGAGGCCCCTGGACTGCCTCTAGGCCCTGAGGACAGAGAAGCATGGGGCTGCATGAAGACCATAGCAGGGGTATGTGTGGTGAGTGAGTGAGTCATTAGGGAGGAGCAGGGACCCAGTGGAGTTCACAGAACAGGCTAGACCTTCCCCACCCTTCCTGTTAGGGTCACCAGACATTGAGTGGCAGTTTTGCTTTCTTTCTTTCTTTTCCTTTTTTTAGCAAGATCTAACCCCGGCGTTTCAAGTGTCTTCATACCAGAGCCAGACCCCACATCCACACTTGGCCCAGAGGTTTTTAGACGTTGGAACTCACCGAATCTTCATGTTCCAAGTGGAGATGTCTGGGTCTGCCTCCACCCTGATTTGAAGATCTGGTCCTTACACCATACACCAGGGGAAATGCTCACCAGGATACCGGCTTCTTGCTGAGGGTAGTGGGTAGATACCCCTGGAAGTGCTTAAGGAAGGAGGCAGCCTTACAAAGAGCTGCTGAGCTCGGGCCACAGGTGGTGGGGACGGTGGGGAGTGGGGAGGTGAGGGAGGAAGCACCTGCTGACTGAAGGTGGGCAGAAAAGCAGGGCTGAGGAAGGAGCTGCCCCTTTAAGAGGGCTGTACCTTTAAGAGGGCTGCCCCAGGCAGGGCTGCTTGGCCTTGGTCTGCTAGATGTGGTGGGACTCCGGTGGGACTCGGGAAGCTGGGGGCAGGAAGGGTGAACCATCCTGACATTCACAAACAGAAAAATCCCCTGGACAGGAAGATATAAAACTATTCATGTGCAGTAGCCAGCAAGAGGCACTAATCATCACTTGCAAGAGAAACTCAACAAGCAGGGCTTGCTGGAGCTTCCTCAGAGAACCCTGGTGGAAGCAGCAGGAAACCCAACCAGAGCACTGAAAACAAATACACAAACAAACTATCTAGAGGGCTAATGCAGTAGTTTCAGAACTGACTCTGGAGCCAGGCCTCCTGTGATCAAATTTCAGCTCTCACATGGGTGACCTCAGGCAACTTAACCTCTTTAAGCCTCAGTTTTCTCTTCTAAAATACAGGGCTAATAATCATCATATTGCATTAGGTTATCATGAAGATAAGATAATATACAGGGGTGGCTAAAAGTAGGTTTTCAGTTATCATATGGAAATAATAGAAATAAGATAATAATAAATAATACAAGAATAAACTCATAACTGTAAACCTACTTTTGCCCCCCCCCCCCGTACGTAAAGAAGTTAGAACAATGCCTGGCACATAGTAAGCACCATATAAATATGTGGTGTTGTTGTTGTCGTTGTTGTTACTGTATAACTATTTAGAATCTGGACACCTAGAACCCAGAACCCTTGGCAGATCTATTTAGATTCTTGCTACTTAAAGTTTGGTCCACTGACCAGAATCAGCAGTATCACCTGGGAGCCTGTTAGAAATGCAGCCTTGGGTGCAGTCCTGGATGCACAGAATCAGAGTCTGCATTTTGCCCTGGCTTCTGTGGCTCAGTGGACTGAGCGCCAGGCTGCAAACCAAGGGTCTGCTGGTTTGAATCCCAGTCAGGGCACATGTCTGGGTTGTGGGCCAGGCCCCCAGTACGGGGAGTGTGAGAGGCAACCACACATTGGTGTTTCACTCCCTCCATTCCCCCCACTCTGAAAATAAATAAATAGATACATAAATAAATAGTTTTAAAAAAACAGAATTTGCATTTCACAAAAGTCCAGCTGAACGATGAGGAGCACATTCAAATTTGTGAGGCCCTGCTTTAGAGCCCAGGGGCAGCCGCACCCAGAAGCTAGGCTATTTGGGGTAGGAGGTCAACAAGGGTTAGGCTGCCCTGCCTTGGGGTTCCCACAGCCTGGAAAGCCCCCCACCCGGGTCAGCACTGACCTCTGACGTGGGGACACTGCGGGGTAGGGGGCTACACGACTGTTTGCGGGGGCTACACGTCGGCTTGCTGGGACATCTTGGTACCCGGGGCACCGGTGGGGGCGCGGTGGCTGAGCCCACCCCCCGAAAGCCCGGGGGACGACGCGAGGTCGAGTGGCGGTTTGCTGGAGTACCACGTGCTCAGGAGATGGTCCACCTGCTCCCGGCTGGAGACTGTGCGCAGGTGGGCCTTTCCACTCCCGCCATCCACGCCCTCAGGGGGCTCTGAGGTCTCGGGGGTCTCGGTGCCCCTGCCCGCCTCATCCCGCCGCAGCCCCCGCGCCTGCATCTCGCTCTGCATGCTGGCGAAAAAGTGCAGCACGCAGCGGTGCGCGAAGTCCCGCGCATGCTCACAGCACGTCTCGTCGAAGAGCTTCTGCTCCAGGTCCACGTAGTTGCTCCAGTATCTGCGCTGCAGGAAGATCGTTTGGTCAAAGCAGGGCCTCAGGCAGCGGGCCAGGAAGGCCACCACGATCAGCAGCAGGGTGATACTCCAGCCGATGGCCTAAGAGGGTGGGGAGAGCAAGGTTAGGTACGGGCGTGGCAGGCATGGGTGTTCCAGTCTCTCTACTGATCTCTTCTATCCTTCCTCAGATCTGTTACTCTTCCCATTTAGTCATCCATCTACCGGCCACCTCCATCCACCCTCCCTTCCATTCATTCTCTCATCCTTGCGTCCATTCATCCACCCAGCTATCTCTCTACCCATTCATCTACTCATGCATCCTCTCATCTGACCCAATATCTCTCAAGTTCCTATCCAGACACCCTCCAACCATCTTCCCGTTGTCCACCATCCGTCCTCCCATCCAGCCATCTATCCTCCCAACCGTTCATGTTCTGATACTCATTCTTTCTTCGATTTATGCATCCAACCATTTATTCACCCACCATTGATCCTCCCAACCTTTCTTCTGGAAACCAGAATATATCACCCCAAAGTATGCCTCTTTGACATAGAATTATTGGGGCTGAAGACAATTTTGAGCTGAAGCAAACATAGGAAAAACTCTATCTTCCCTTTTTCTGCCTAAAGGCAAGATACAATTCTCCTTTTACTGGAGACAGACGCTTATCAGCCCAGAGACAGCACCAGAGGAAGGTGCAAACAAACCTTACTCTATTAGTAAGGAGTAAGAAACTCCTCGTTTCCTCTCATGTATTTCCCTTCCCACAGTGTCTGCCGTTGGAAGCCTAAAGTTGCTTTCCTTTGTCCTGTTATTTCTCTACAAAGGTACTGCTCTTTGTTGAAGATGATAATATAAACCAGAATTCTAAGCTGCTTCTTTGAGTTGTTCTTTGGTTTAGGTTTCTCCCATGTGATGTGCACTGCGTGTGTTAATAAACTGTTTGTTTTTCATTTGTTAATGTTTTTTTTTTTGTTATCACCTCAGTGGAAAACCTAAGATTGGGAGAGGTAAAGTTTTACCTTCCCTACACTCTCATCCATCCATCCGTTCATTCATCCATCTGTCCATCCTCCTTTCCATCCCCACATACATTTATGCACCCCATCTATGCATCCATCTATCCTGTGTTTTGGGGGAGGCATGAGGGACCCCGTGTTTTCTCTCACAGAGTTCACACTTAAGTGGAGGAAACAATTAATAGGCGATGATAGGCCTTCATGTTGAGGGAGTCACAGGAATTTACCCAACCTGAACTTGAGGGCTCAGGGAACAGTGAGGCCAAGGCTGAGACCTGAAGGATGAATAAGAGTTGTATAAGACATGAATGGCAAACAATGTTCTAGGCCAAGAGTGAGAAACAAGTGGAAGTCGTTCTTGAAGGCTGGAGCCCAGTCCTGGCTGACCCCTCCCCCTCCTCTCTGCTCACCCACAGCAGTAGTCTCTTCCAGGCCTCGCTGAAGACCAGAGCAACGGTGTGGGCCTGGAACAGAGACGTCACTCCTCGAACACAAACAAAGACACTCTGTCTTTTGGCCTTTCATAGAATCCCCTCCCTGCCTATCTACCCCACCCCCCTCACCAATTTAAAATACTCATATGATTATTTTACATGCGAGAAACTCTTAACATGCCTGATAAAATTACAGCTGAGTCAGGACTCAAACCCTGGTCTGATGGAAAATTCCACACTCTTTCTGATGAGCTAGTGAAGAATAGAGTGTCTAAGCCTGCAGGGACCGTCACGGTGAAGGAGACCAAACCTCCCTTTATTTTGCAGGATAAACTGAGGCCCTGAGGGAGAGTGACGTGGCCAAGGTCCACAGTCTGAAGTAGAATCAAGCGCATCCTGAGCGCTGGTCTTCTCTGCACCATACCGCAGGCCTGCATTTGGCACCAGCCCGTTTCAGCTCTGCCAAGGGCTGGGATCATGAATTTATCCTCTGTAGCCCCAGTGATACCTGTCATGTATGGGTTCATGTAAATACTTTTTGGAGGACACAGCCCAGCCTGGGGCTTTGGGCGTGGTGGCGGTGGAATCTAGAGTCTGGGCTGGGAATGGGGCTGGGGTTTGCTCCCAGGATGATGGACTTGATACTCCATGAAGAGCCAGGCATCTTGGGAGACCTTGCTTTGTAGGGAGGCGGGTAAGAGGGCCAGGAAATAACACGTGTATTCAGACCCCTGCCCTACCTCTCCCAAGGCGTGTCACTTTGGCCTAGTGAACGAGCCTCTCCTAGCTTCCATTTCCTCATCTGTAAAATGGGATGATAATGATTGCATCCAGTTCATAGGGTTGTTCTAAGAATTCAATGGAATAATGCATATGAAATGCTCAACACAGTCCCTGATACGTAAGTGCTCAATGAAAGGTCATTAGTATTATTTCTGAGGGGTGGGAAGAACGTGTGTATGGTAGACAGAGAGGTCTACCTCCAGTGCTTCCCTGCCATCCAGCCCCCTGAGGGTGTGTCGAGCTGACTCCTGGGGCATATGGGTACCTGGTCTCTCTCCCGGGGTGAGTCAGCATTGATGACCAGGTGCTCTCTGCCTAGGGCCCAACACCATTCTGTTTGTGAATCATGCTTCTGATCCCCTCAAGGACCACCTACTTCTTGGTTCTGTCTCTAGCAGTGGGGAGGGGCCGCAGGAAGTCAGTTGTACCTCCTCACCCCTCAGAACCCATGCAAGATATTTGGGAGGGTTGGGAGAGGACCTTCCAAATTACCTGTGACAGGCACCGCAGGTAGCGAGACACTGCCTTTCGAGCAGGGCTGTCCCTGACCAACTCATCTTCCTTACAGGGCACCTTGGCCAGAAAGAGCTGAATCTGGCTGGGGGTCATGTTGGCAAAGTCCAGAAACTTCTCAGGGTCCACGGAGCTGCTGAAGGCGCACACGAAGCACTTCCCGTCGAGGAGGGCCAGCAGGATCCAGACAAGGGGGGCAGCCAGCGCTCTCTGCAGCACGGAGGAGCACATATACCTGGGAGCAGAGGAAGGCGGGGTCACACAGAGCAGCTGGAATTCAGCCAAAGCAGGAAGCCTGCAGGAGAGATGCAAAGATGGACTTCCCAGGAGGGCGGGGAAAAAGTAGTTGTAGTCACTTCAAAGGAATGGCTGCAGCTTCCACTGCAGGGTCCTGGCAGCAGAGGATGAGGGGGAGGAGGTGCGGGGGGCCCCGGGAGCCCAGAACTGCCCCACTGGGGAGCTGGTGTCTTCCTCCTCCAGGCGTTGTAGCAGACTCTGCCAGTGCCCGGCCCAGCCAGAGGCACCTACGGCTTTGGCAGATAGTTTCAGTTCATGTGGAGGCCTGAGGGCCCCCCTCAACCACCTCAACCTGCCTGACGGCTAGGCTGCAAGCGATAGAAAGTCAACAACCCCCTCCCTCTACATTAACCTTCAACCCAAGAGAAACGGGGCCTGGTGAATAAACACCCCATCTTCCTAGACCCTCAGTGAGACATTTCTGAGGTGTGTCTTACCCGCTCTCTCAGGAGGATTGAACTCCGGCCGCCCACCCCTTATTGCACTCTTCCAAGAGCCTGTGTTTGAGGGGAGCCTAGACTAAGACAGCCCTGCCCGATAACCCTCCCTGACATACCCTCCCATCCAGGGACCCCCGCCCCCGCCGACTGTCCCCAGGTGCCTCCCCTGCCTTACTCCACCTGTCTCATGGCCTGCGGTGGGTGTTCGTCACAGGAGGACGGGAGCCCAGTGGAGCTGCAACCACTGGCTCCCCAAGAAGAAGGTCAAGGGCACACTCAGTGCATGTGACCTTCTCTGTGTGGCTGGATGACAGGGAGCACAGAGCCCTCAAGGGACACAAAACAGGCTGCTTGTGCACAGGATGCAGATATTTCCAAGTTGCACTGTATACAAACATAAAGTGGTACATGCTGTGTGTGTGTGCGTGTGTGTGTGTGTGTGTGTGCGCGCGCGTGTGCACGCAGCCTCCCCAGTGGTGAATTATAAATCCCCTGTAGGCAGGAGTGATTCCAGCATTTTCTATGGCGACAATGGGGTTAGAAGGTGGAACTGAAGACTTGCCATGAAATTACCTTACACACCCTTGTGGACACCTCATTTGTCTGTCAAAGCGTAGGGTGGAGGAGGAGGTCACGAGTGGGCGAAGACCCAGCAAGCCTCCCCAGCCCCTGCCCACAGGTCTAGAGCACTTAGACATTTTGTCCAAAACACTAAGGGCAGCTGAGTGAGTTGTGCTTCTTCCTCCTGGTGGGAGCTCAGCGGTGTTACTTAGCTTCCCTGTGTCTCAGGTACCTCATCCTTAACAATGGGTCCCCTTTAGGAGCAGACCCAGGGCTGAGGTGAGAATTCAGAGGCCAAGCACACACAGCACTCGGCACAGAGCTTGGCCCTGAGTTGCTGTTCCGTGTTGGCCAGGGAGCAATTCGAATCGCTAAACTCCGTCAGCTGATTTTGACAGAGGGCACCCACCAGGTGGGAGGCTCTGAGGACATTGCAGTATGAGCTGCCCTGGGGGAGCTTCTGGGAGAGGGATGCAGCCTTGAAGCCAGTGACGCCTCTGACTACATTCAAACGCTCTGTGCAAGCCCTGGGATGGCCCCTCATGCAGGTGGTGAGGTGCAGTCAACCCATGGCCAGCGTGGCAGATGTGATTGGGGAATTCTGTATCAAGCATCTGTCTCTAGCGCTAGCCACAGAAAGGTGACAAATGACAGGAACAGAAATATCTGTTTCCAGAGTGGAAACTGCAAATGGGTTTTGTAAGCTGTTGATGCTTTAGTTGGGGAAAGGAGGGGGCACACTCGAGAGTGACTGTGGGGGCCAGTGAGGAGCCCTGACAACACCCATGGGCGTCACTGGGGCTTGGGGGTCACCTGGACATGTTTTTGTAGGTGCGGGGCCTGACAATGCTCATGGGTAGAGTCAGGGTGTCGGAGTGCCCCTGGCAATTCCTGTGCAGGCAGGGGGCCCGGACAATGCTCTTGGGGAGAATTGGGGTTCGGGGTGCCCCTGGCAGTACCTGAGCAGGTGTGGGAGGGGCCCTGGCAACGCCTGCAGGCCTGGGGGGTTATGGGACCGCACCTGATGATACCTGGGTCCTTCCTCCGGTGCCCTGCGGGCCGGCGCCACTCCTCCACCATCACCACCGTCTGCCGGTTTGCAAGGAGGCCGCAGAGGAAGAGGGCGAGCGGGGGCGTGAGCAGCAGGCCCAGGCCGTAGAGGGCGTTGTAGCGCGCCAGGCAGGGGCAGTTGAAGTCGAAGGAGGAGTACAGCTTGACAGTGACTGCGGCCAGCAGCAGACAGATGCCGTTCATCACCGACTCGGAGCTGGACTGGAAGTGCTGGAAGAGCATGCGGAACTTATCCATGGCTCCCGCCTGGGGGGTGGGCAGCGTGGGTGGGGGGCCGTGCTGGGGGCGAGTCTCGGCCCTCAGGAGCTGCTTCTCCTCCAAGGGCCCCCAGCCCAGCCTCTGCGGTCCAGCTCTCCAAGAAGGCTCAGATGCCCAGCCTGCTTGTCCCCAGTGCCACTGCCCTCCTCTCTGTGACCAGCCAGCCCAAAGCACCTTTAGGCAAATGTGCCCTGTTCTTTCACTCCGTCCCTCCCCAACCCATTCCCTCCTCTCTTCAGGGTGTGGATACTGAGGCCTGACAGCTGGCAGGGTGTCCTGTGGGGGACAGGCAAATTCTGGATATGGTAAGGCCAAGACACTTGGAGGAGCCAATTTCTATTTTCTGGTCTTGATCAAAACGTGACTTGATTCAGCTGAGTGCAGGGAGCGTTCATGTTGACTTTCATGCTGGGAGGAGCCAGGAGGGGCACCTTACCTTACCTGAAGATTTCCTGAAACAGAAAACCCCTGAGAAGAGTTTAAAACATGTTTCAGCGTTTACCAATGACAGGCTTTTGAAAGGGAAGGCCTTCCAAGCAGAGGGCTGCACACCGGCGAAGGCACGGAGGTGGAAGCAGCCCGGTGTGGCCAGTGGAGTGGGGCTGCTGGAATGCAGTCTCAGGCAGCAGGTGTCAGGAGAGGGGGCTGGAGGGTCCGTGGGGGCCGGCAGCCCTCTGCTCCATTTTGTTCCACTGCCTTCTAGGCCTGGCCACCAGCCAGTTCAGCTTTCCCTAAGGCACGGCTTTCATTGGCTCACTCCTCGGCTCAGGTGTGACCTGGCCTCCCTCAGTCTAACTCAAGGCCGGCCTAACTCTATCCAGATGCATCTTCCCTCCTTCATTGAAAACCCGTACCCCTTCCTCCCACCTGCTCTTCAAGAGGCAGCTCAAGTGCAGGGAGTGGAGAGAACAAGGTTAGGGGGTCTGAGCACCCCCTCTCCCATTCTAGCCTCAGGGGAGTCTCCAGAAAAGAACAAACACGCCTTCAGGAAATTGGGACAGGTCTCTCCCAGGCCAGTCTGTCACAGATCCAGCCTCTGACAGATGAGACAGAGCTCCCAGGCCAGCCTGGGGCCCTGGGCCCTGCAGGGGGTGGTGTTCTGTTGCCTGTGCTGCTCCCTGCTAGGTGTTCGCTGGAAAACACTCCAGCAAAGAAAAAGGCAAGAAGGAAGGAAGCTCATCACACCTTCAAGAAAACCTCAGGATGAGGGGGTGGCTTTACATTTAAAGATCTGTCTTTTTTAAGTTTTCTACTTTATAATAATGATTTTTTAAAAACAATTCCCAATAAAAATCACAAAATATTTTTACTGGAAAAACTCAAAGGGATTAAGGAACAAAGTAAAAGGGGGAAGGGATTGTATTTGTTGCCTAGAGCCCTGGACCCGCTGAACCAGGAGAGGCAGAAACAGAGGAAAGAAAAGAAGGAGAAAGACTCGTTTGACTTCTGTGTGTGGAAAGATGTTACCTTGGAGATCTGCTGCGGGATAACACCTTAGTCAGGCTTGCTCGACCCCCTACCCCTCTTCAGAAGTCTGCGGCTCTGTCTTTGGGGGTCTTTTAATTCTGGGAATTAAAAAAAAAATTTTAAATCTGTGAATTTTTAAATTCACATTTTATTTTAATGATGACAAATCTTTTTAGCAGTGTTAAACATGTATTAACTCTCAATTGAAAGATCTTTATAGAACAGGTCTTTGTTCTCTTTTTCTCAAGTTAGAGAATTGTGTATATGTACTTCGGGGTCTTCTAGATTTTCTTCCCTTTAAAAGAAATCTGCGTATTATTTGAGAAACATTGGCTCTCCCATTCTTGGAGTTCCTGTGACTGAGAGAGTTCTTTAGGACTGGGCGCCCCCTACTGGAGAAACTCAGAGTTTGATGTGGGAGTGTGGTATGTGTGTGTGGGTGCATACACATGTGGCTTGCATGTATCTGGTATGTGTACAAGTGTGTGTCTTCAGAAATTTAGGTGTGGGTATGTCTTTTTTTATATAGTGAATACACCCTCTCCTGAGGTTTCTCTCTGTCTCTCTCTTTCTTTCAAAAGGAAGACATTGGATGCGTGTCCCACTTCTCTCTGAGGACTGGGGAGCTATTGTTCCCACCTGTTTAGCAGAGTGATGGTGCCCTCTCTGTCCAAGAGACCTGACCCCCTTTTATCCTGATGACAGAGGCCATGTGACAGGCCTCTTTGGTCTGCCTTTGGCAGACCTATGGGAAAGCAATGTGGCACTTATGTGGACTCTACTCTGGTGACTATATGGAGCCTTGTGGCCCCTAACGGAAGCCATCTAACAAATGGCATTGGAACAGTTGGCTAAGCATTTGGGGAAAACTTAAACTGAATCTCTACCTCATTCTTTATACCAAAATAGATTCCAAATGACTCAAAGACTTTCATATAAAAATGAAGATCATAAAAATTCTACAAGAAAATATAGGAGAGGCTTTTGTGAATAGAGCACACATTCTGTAGCTCTGGAGGAGGAGGTAGATAAAGTAGGCCTCAATTTATGTGGGCAAAATGCCAGTAAACAAAGTAAAAGTAAAAAACTGGAAAAAGGTATTGCCACACACATGCCACACAAAGGTCCCTTTTCCTCAATTTGTAGAGGGAGCATATAAATCAATAAAAAAAGATGAATGATCTTAGAGAAAAGTGGTCAAAGGATATGAACAGGCTATTCACAGAGAAAGAGACATGTGGCCCCAAATCCTGCAAAGATTCTAATTCTCATTCATAATTAAATACAATCTAAATAACCAGGTGCCTTTTAAAACTCACCAAGTTGTGAGAAACTAAAAGATCGGTAACATCCAGTGTCAATGAGGGCTTAGGGAAACAGCACCTTTATACACCGATGGTAAGTGTACAAATTTGTGGGGTTTTCCTAAGACAATTTGGCAACATATGTAAAGCAAAAATTTAAACACACATGTCCTTTCACCTAACAATTACGAAGCTCTGAATTGACCCTATGGGTAGATATGCAGAAGTGGCCAAGATAAATGGACAAGGGTGTTCATTATAGCTTTGTTTGAATGGCAATAAAACTGCAAACGCTTGTTTTATCAACAGGGGACTGTTTAAATAAATGATGGCACTGCTATAAAATGAGGCCTCTACAGCCACTAGAAGAATAAGTAAACCCACATGTGTTCATTTGAAAAAGACCTCTAGATTCTGATAAATTAAGGAAGCACAGTTTAGTACGCATAAATGAGTAAAAATTTTAGCATTATGCATATATTTTTTGCAAGAGATACGGAGAGTTGCTACCATTGGGTGGTCGGGGAGGAGGACTATTATTTTCTTTCATTTTCTATCCGTCTGTGCAGTTTGACTTTTCAAACAATGTTTACATATAAATTTTACTTATAAAAGATCAACGGAGGTTATCCAGGCAGTGGACTTATGAAATTGAAATATACATTTCTATGTGTAAGTAGATACATAAAATTAAATAAGGTTAAAATGTTATGAATTACACACAAAAAATTTGACCAGGTTCAACCCTGAACATCCTTCCACACTTAAATTTTTGGTCTTCATCCCGCAGATCACAGAATGGGGAACAATTTTCTTGGTTCACAACACATTTCTAACTCCTTTCTCAGAAGAAGAAACAGATAAGCCTGGTTTTATAATATTATCCCCCCCCCTTTTTTTTACATAACCAACAAGATATAAACATGGACTTTCTGACTAAACCAAATGAAGCTGTTTCCAGGCCCTGTGGTGGGAAGGTGGGGCTGGTTTTCAGCGCAGCAGTCCTTCCAGAGACGGCTTTGGACACTGGAGGTTGGGCCAAATGCAGAGACGCAGGGTCGGAGACAAGCAAGTTGCTCTGGGAGGCGCCCCTGTCCAGCTGGATTTTCTGAATTCCACTTCTCCGTAAATACCAATGTCAGAATGGCTCCAGGGTCCCCTCTCCCAGTTGCCTACGAGCACCAGCTCCTGAGAGTTCTGAGAGCAAACGTCGCCCACTGCCGTGACGTAGGTGTAGAGGTGTTAGTGGGACAGTGCTGGACTGGGTGTGGCACATCCCAGCTCTGAGGGTGACTGTGTGTTTGGAGGGCCAAGTTAGGAAGCACGTCTGCCATTGGCCACACATCCTCAAGGTCTTGTCCGTAGGGCACCAGACAGATGTTCTCGGGGCCTCTGCAGAGCGCCAGGCACAGTGCTGGTGCTGGGCGCATACAGGTACCCCCACCAGGTGCAGGCGCAAACAGTGGAGCATCTCGGTGTGAACTGCAGGGCTCTGAAGAGGACCTCAACTTGGCTTTGGTTTGGGGAGGTCCTCCCTCAGTCCTGTGAGAATCTCTGTTGGTGGGTTTGACCTTCTTTGGTCCAGCCAGTGTGGTGGGGAGGGCTCCTCCGGAGAAGTAGTTTCAGGATGAAACATGAGAAGGTGCCTGAGTGAAGCAAATATGCCCAGAGGGGAACACCTGGGTGGCTGAAGAGGAGGGCTAACTTCCTCATTGACATATTTTCTTTATGACGAAGTAGCTAATGGAAGCTGTAAGGATATAGTTCCCTCAAATGCTTTTTCCATTTTGAAAGAGGAAAAGAGCAACCTGTAAACATTTTAAAAGGAAACATCTTTGGATTGACTTGAGGGCTCCCCCAAAGTTTGCCAGAGACAAAGGGGATTCTAGCGGGAGTTCTAGCGCTTCCTAGTGGTGGCTGGAGAGAGAAATCAAGAGGCAGGGGAGGGTCCAGGAGGGATCTTGGGACACAGGGTCTGCTGAGAGACAACTTTCCACGAGCTACCTTTCCAGGGTCACTGGGAAGAGAGGCCCCCCGGATGCGCCTTTGGATGGAGGTGGGACCTAGAGAGTCCCTCTGGGACCTCTCTTGGAAAAGGAGGATAGAAGTGAGATGGTACACAGGCAGCAGGAACTGGGACATGGCTGTTTCCTACTCTGGGTCTAGGGATGGAGGGCATTTGGAGTGACTGAAGGCTAGTGGCTCACT